CCATTAAGCTGCTTGAAGCTGTTGTCCTGTGAGCCGCCATCACACAGCTGTTAACTTGTCCTCTGATTCAGTCGTGTCTTTGGGACCAGACCTCTTCCTGTTTCTGAGCCTTTGATGGTGAAGGAAACTGTGCTCACTGACACTGTGACTTTCTTCACGGTCTCTCTGTAGCACAGACCTACATTTATAAGTGTTATGATGGTCTGTCTCTCTTCTATCGTTAATCGGCTTTTTCTCACCATTTCTGTAGCATCACTCTACTTTCTGCAGTGCAGTACTGTTCAGCTGATGCTCACGAGGGTATGGCACCACAGTGTGCTCCAACACTGCCTCTATCCAGACAGAGGGGGCTGTAAGTAATCCAGAAATGTTGGAACAGCTGTAGGAGTCAGCAGCACCATCTTTCAAGGCTTGATCAACCTCCACTGCTGCAGAACAGCTTTAAACTGTTAATCTATGTTGTTCCCTGACAAAGGCCTTTTTGTATAATTATAAATGTACATTATCACAGTTTTGGGTAACCTTACCTTTTTTTAACCTCTGACAGTTCACCACGAACGGCTTGAATTGCAATAAATAACTGCAAACATTGGGGTGTTATAAAGCTTATGAACAATCGTGTACATGTAAATCACTTTGAGTGATCAGTGCGATTATCTTCATCATTGTTGTTATCAGATAATTACAGGAAAGTCGTTTAAAGGTTCTTTACAGGTACCAAATTTGGCAAATAGTCTTTGCGATTGCTTTTTTGATAAAGAATATAATTAGAAAATATGTTTCTCATATTACATTTAAAAATATATTTTTTCCAAATAATTCGTCAACTAAGTTTGAGTTTTTCTCTTAGTGTCAAATCTTGGAGGAGTTGACTTCAGTCCTGTTTGTCTGTTTTTAAAATCTAAATCATGCAAATCAACAGAAAAACCTCTGAAACATGTCCAGTAGTTGAAATTCGGCAATAAACCGAGTTGTTGTTTCTTCAGATGAAAATGTGCCCAGTTTGGAAATTTGGCCAATTCAACTGGTTATCAGGCTGTTTTAAAACGAATGTCGTAAGAACACAAGGTGTCCGTACCAAACACGGACAACAAAGCCTGAACTCTCTTATTCTGGCTGTGTTGTCTGTAAGGAGGAGTCGCCCTGTTGCTTTGACTATAACATGTGACTGTGTATGCTGAGCAAATATACACAAGCATTGGTAGGTGTGCGCACGCTCACATTATCTTGGATTTTAAGTGCAAATAAATGTAACTTTCCTCATTGGAAGCAGTGAAGGAGGTTTTCCATGAAAAAGAAACTGTGGTCATCTGCCACTGGTGTTTTTCCTGTGGGTGTGCCGTTCCCACCACTGTGTTTCTGTTTGTCAGAATTGTTTCTTTAGCTGGTCTTAATTTTCTCACTATTATTCTGATTTCAGCCGACGCGACTGGTTTCTCTTGCACTGAGAGCTCCTCTGAGAGCATGCACCTGCAGCTCTTTAACGTTTCTCTTTCTAATGTAAAAATCGACACGCTGACAAACTGTTTCGTTGTTCTTGTAACAGTGACAATAAAGATCTATTCTACAGAATGTAAATGCCACACTTTGAATCGTCTTCAGACTCTATACTTGTGTCATGGTGAACACACAGGCTGTACAGCTCTTTTCTAATCTAACTGAGAACAGACAAATGTACCTATCCTCGCAGACACAACACTTCTATGTCTTAAGCACTTTCTAATTACAACCCCACTTTTGAAAAGGCTGGGACGCCGTTAAAATAAAAAAGAATGCAATGATTTCTGAAAATCATTATTTAATTCAACAATAGATCAAATGTTTAAAGAAAGAAGAACCAGCTCATCCTGAGTTAAAGACGAGTTGTTAGACTTTTGTTAGAGGACTATTGTATACAGAATTCTGGCTTTTCAATTATTCTGAATCTTCAGTTTCATATTTTTAATTTTTAATGTTTTTCCAAATATCTTGAATTGGTAAGAATTCTAGACTCAACCTAGACCCATGCTGTTGTAATAGATGCTTTACATGGTTTCACACTGTTGTCTTAGTTACTATGTTGGTCTAAACCTTGTATTTCAGCACTGATGGATCCTTTCCAGATGTGCAAGTTGCCAAATTCATAGTCAGTAATGTATCGCCATACATCAGCGGAAACCAGCTGAATGATGCCTCTCCCTCTCCTCTTTAGTCCAGGTGACGTGACGTCCATGTTTGCCAAAAAGAAAACAAATCAGATGTTTCTGACCTCAGAACAGATTTCCACTTTGCCTCAGTCCATGTGACATTTGGCCCAGATTCAGGATGATGTTCACATATAAAGTGACACTGCAGGTGTGGACGGCACCGTGAGCCGTTCCCGAGTCTTTGCGCTGATTTCCATGACAGAGTCAAGCCTGTTGTTAATGCAGTGCTGACTTAGGCAGAAAGCTCTCGCTCATCCAACATGGATTTCCAGGCTTGTGCATTGTGCACATGGATTTCTCTGGAACCTGTTGATGCTATTATGAGAAATTTGCAGCTTTCACAGTTGTTTATTTGACAAACAATTGTTTTGCAGCTTGTAAATGCAGTTTTTTGCAGACTGGTGCCCCCTGCCTGTCTTTACTTCTGGGAAACTGCCTGCCTGCTCTTTTTATACTCAGTCATGTGACTGGTAACAAACAGGCTGTTTATCTGCCTCATGTTCCCTCAGGTGCTTCTTAAACAATGATTTGTGGGGATTTTCAGACACTCATGATAATGAAAGTACAGCGTCACAGACTAAGCTCAAACTGATTTCATGTCAATGTGGACACAGCTACCTGTTAACAGAGAACATTTTCTCTGTGTAAACATTTGGTGTGATTTCTGTGTTCTGTGAATAAAACGTGTTCATGAGATTTGCTAATCATTGCATTCTGCTTTTATATTTTACTCGATGTTTTTAGAATTGGCATTATTAATCTCGTGTCACACTTATGTAGATGGCAATTGACAAGAATTTAGCGATTCTGATTCCATCACTTATCAATTTGATTTCTTATTCACTCTCACGAGGTTCTCATCGTCTCCGCGTTGAGTCAGCACCATCACTGAGCAGCGTATGAAAGAAATTACAGTCATGCACGTTAACTACATGCTGTGTGCTCCTCTGTGTTGTGATCCGTGTAGGTTCATTACTCAAAAAAGTCATCATGACGCAGAACAAGTAATGCAAAATGTTACTTAATTGCTCCCAGGAGAAAGTAATCATTGTCCTGCTTGTTGCATTACTTTTGTGTTTCTCTGTAAAATGGCCTGAAACACATTCTCTCATATGATTTAACAGGGTCTGGCTGCTGGTCTGGGGTCAGCATCACTCGGCTTAAACATGCTTCTGGGTTTTGGCTACCTTAGCATGCTGTGCAGAGGACCATAATGGAGGTGTCCTGTATACGGATCATAGGCTCTGATATGGAATGTGTGAAACTATCAATACAAGCAACCGAAGCTGTTTTCCTCTGCCGTACGGTGCTGAGGAAAAACTGAAGGAGCTCAAACATCTGGAGCGAGCTTAAAGAAAAGCTTCTCAAAGCTCAAAGGAGCTAGTTGATGTGGTTTTGGCAGCTCATGAAGCCCCACAGATCATTGTTGGTGGTTTTCTGGGAATGCCTAACAGAGGGGAATGTGACGCAGACCTAGAACATGCCGGGGTGATCTTCAGAGTCCTCCATGAAAAGCTAGAGGATGTGGCTGAGGTCTGTCTGGCTGTGAAACTATCAGCGTTCGTTTTGGTTCCCTTTCAGCCGGTGGAACATTTGAAGGAATACTAATGAAACTGGGGAGAACGTTGATCTTTAAAGCAAACAATCACCAGCATTTTTATAGTCATAAACCTACTGAGGAGGGAACCAACTAAAGACAGACAAATGGTTGTAATGGACGCTTGCAAGGAATAACAGAACTGCATTAATATATTGAAATGCAGTGTCTCATCATTTCCACAAACACTGGGCGTTTCCAGCTGCAGGTCTTCACTCCTACATTTTTGCAGTTTAGGAAACACCCGTCTGCTCTGTTATTGATGTGTGTTTCAAGAATAAGTTGTGCACGGTGTTTGAAGGCAGAGCACTGCAGACATTGTGGTTTGATTTTTATTTTCTACCAAATGAATTATTGTTTTGTGCAAACATTTGGATGCCATTTGGAATACTTCGTCCTTTGTAGTTGCACACTTCATTATTTGCCTGCAGCTGCTAATTATTTTTTTAAGCTGGTTTTTGTGCAATGGGCAGAGACAATTCTGCAACATGAAATATATTATGGCCTAATACATGGTTAACATGCACATTTGAGGACCTGAAGGCTGACTGTGATTGGATCAGAGTCATGACAGAACTGGGTGACGGCATGAGAAAGGCGACAGTTAATTATAGACCGTTGCCCAAAACACATGATGAGTGAAATGTGCAGCTCGACAGTGACAAATTATAATGACACAAACTATATTTTCAAGTTATACTTACTTTACCTCTAGTGTCTAAAACATTTTAGTGTTATACAATTAAAAGTTTCATTGCATACATACAGCAAGTTGTGGAATCATGCAGACAGATCACATTTCTATTATAACAGATTATTTGTCTAGCATTAAGGTGCGCTCAGCGCTACACTTTGTCACACTCATACCCACGCACATTTATCTCGAATAAAAAAGGCTTTGGTAGATTCAGTTAAAATCATTAGAGTTCCCTGTTAGACATGTTGTAAGTCAGATATAGATTTTAAACATGCTGGTTTTCATGAATGCATTTCCCAGTACAACAGTTACATTACCAGTCTCCTCAGTGAAGTGGGATTTAAGGATCAATTCATAGTTTAGTAAGAAATCCAGCAGGATATTTTCTGTGTGTGTAAATGTGTGTCTGGGACAAACAGGGTTTGGATTTCTTTCCCTTGCGTTGTGCAGCAGCTACAGTGCCACACTGTTGTCTTTGTAAAACCCTGAGAGTTTATTGCTGTTTATCTGCTTTCTGCAGTCTCCTGTGCTAAAGACCCAGACAATCACCATCTCAGATGTTACCAATTCTGTAAGAGGAACTGCAGCCTACAAGGACATACCCTTAGTTCACACTGAAACCAAGACCATCACATACGAGTCAGCTCAGGTGAGGTGAATTTGAGACATTTCCCCCTTACAAAAATATGCATTTTACGAGTTATTTTCTCACATTAAACACAAAGTATAGCTTTTTTTTTACTTTGTATGCAATGCTACTACACACTGTCTGGTTTTCATAAGCCTGGCCGAAAGTTTTGGCCCTAGTATTAAGGAGTGGTCAACATAATGGCCTTAATACAAGAATTAAATAAGGTGTTTGGAAGCAGACTGGTGGGCTGACGTTCTGGCCTGGAATCAAAGGCCCACCACAGTCACAGTTATTAGCCTGGTACAAGCAGAAAAAGGTGGTCACGCAGAAGAACAAGCAGTCTTCCTGGGAAAGGCTTTTCACCCACCTTCATAGGCCTTGGGTCAATACGGAGTGTTTCCACAGCAGATTCTGGGAATACAACACTCGAGCTCTTCCTCTCCACGCCTGGATGGTCACCTCCTAATTACAGAGTAGGCTTTCCCCCCTCCTGTTATCCACAGGTCCAGCAAACCAGCAGTTTCCAATCCAGTCTATTATCACAACAAATCCATGTAAATCTATTGAAAACGAATCCTCTGTCTGGTAAAATGTAATTATTTTAACAGCAAAACCATCCAGGCCAGGTGAAAACTACTTTCATTTAAAATATCCTTTTCCCTCACTGGAGTCTCCAAGACCCCTTTACTAGTCCCTGTACGCGACTCCAAATAGCTGGGCTAGAGTGGAATCTCCACTCCCACATGGTGTGGCCTATATCTCACACAAAAACACAAAAGCATGCAATAACTGAAATGTAAAATAATGCCAACTCTACGTTTAGTGGCAGATTTGATTCTACAGCACTAGCATGACCTGCTAATTTGTCAATATTAATAATTAGGTGGGTCGTCTGTTAAACACAGGGCTGGGATTCAAAACAGCTGATCAGATCAAACCTGCATAGCAGTGAAACTGTAAAGTTCAGTCCTTGATCCTGTTACCAAACCACATTTTCTAGCTTATGTTGACGCTGTATAATATATTCTTAATTCGGTTTTGTTTTTATGTCAGCTCTCGATCGTGTCCTGTGATTGGTCCAGTTTCCAGGAATGGATTTGCAGTATTCAGCACCCCCCCTCATTACAGCCTGAGCATCTGTTATTTTTTTTCCCGCTGTTGTGACTGCTGTGAACACTTGTCTGGTTTCCCTCTCAGACACTGTTATTTAACTTTCTTCAGACTGACTCCGGCGCAGCACGCTTCTCTCCTGGAATATAATTATCAATTTCTCTGCTTCACCTAGAGAGCTGAGGGACATCTAACCGAATATTAGTGGGGGTGTCTGTGTGTATCTGAGCCTGTGTTGATTACAGAAAATCCAACATAAATTACTTTAACATAAATGTTTAAAATTGAGGGGGCTTAAAGCGATTTCTACTATAGTACTATAGATACTCTATCCTCCAATATACAAACTAACATGACTTTACATTTCCCTGGAAATACTTTGTATTCAATGACTGAAGTCTAGAACCCAAGAACCTCATCAGACGCTGCATTTCCTCCTTGAGATGCTCTGCCAGGCCAGAACTGAACCAGCCTCAGTTGCTGCTTCTTTGTGGATCTCACTGCCTGCAGTTTTGTCTTTTTTAGGTTGAGCTCATGTGACTGAGTTAGCCATGGATCAACATCCCATGTCTTTGCTTGTAGTATGCTTCGGGTGATTAATCATTTGTACTGTTAAGTGCTGTTTGTTCAGTTTTGCAAGAAGTTGGTGATACTTCAGAGTTTTCACACCACTCACTGTTACATTGTTGCTTATATTGTTGGGATGGCCCATCTTGCTTCGGTGCTTCAGTTTCAAATGCTTTACCAGTTTGCATTTCTTAAAGCCACATTGCTACTGTAAACACTGGAGGCTTTAGCAGAGCGTTCTTGGTTTTCACCTGGATGTGCACCGTGGACACTGGAACGACACAAATCTAATCAATGCCATTTTCAGCTGGTAGATGTCCAAGTCCCACAGAAAAGAGCAACGATTTGTAGCTTCAAGTCAATAATAACCTTTATTAGAATAGCAAAAGTACACATTTCACTTTTAACTGTTATTATATATTAACAACGCAAAGTCTGCACACTTTTATCCCTTTTCTGACATAATGAAGTTCATGTGCTGTGTTTAAATGTGTGAGTAATTTCTTGTTTGGTACTTAAAGTTATCTCTCCCACAGCCGGTGGACAGTGTGGCAGAGAGGGAGTCGGGAGTGCTGCTGAGTGCCCAGACGATTACTTCTGAGACCATCAGCACCACCACCACCACCCAGATCACCAAGGTCTGGCACACTTCACTAACAGCTTCTCAGGCAGTAGAGATCAGTACACTATCACTATGTTGTGAAAAATGTCTGCTATTAGTCACTTAAACTACAGATGGCACGGTACCACTTTTTTATGTGCGATAACGATAAATTTGGATATCTGGCGATACCGATATGAATCCGATAGTTTTTTTAATCAATAAAACTTTTTTTTTATAAATATCTTGCTGCGTTTTGTATAAATTCATACTCAAGTTAAAAAAAAAAAGCTATTCTGTTATACCTGTATGTAAAAAACACATACAAATATTTCATAGTTCAGCAAAACTGATCAATCTAATAAACTTAAACCTGCAACATCCTCCCTACTCTGGTATTTTAAAGAGTACTTACCAGAAATATTAAACAACCTAACTAACAGGGCTGCAAACTCCCAGCAAAAAAATAAATAAATAAATAGGGAACCACCCCCGCCCTCATGATGCTTAATCGACATAATCAACTTTAATTTGATGCAGTGTGAAAAAATGCACAGAAATCAATAATTTTTCAAGAATAATTAAACAGATTCAACATCTTTCTTCAACAGAACTGCAGACTGCACAGATGGTTCCCAAAGGAAAAAGTACTACAGCTTACTAGGGTATATTAGACTTAATAGTTACTATATACAGTAATGGACTTCTATACATTTTACATCAGATTAAAACTTTGGGTGTCAGATTCAGATAATTATTTATTAAAAGCTCGACATTGTAAATGAGAATAAGAAAGAAAAGTATGTCTTTGTGCCCCTTTCCCTGTTCATGCCCTATCGGCCCCCTGGCTAAACTTTGCTAGATCCGCCCCTGCACAGTTACCAGCCGTCAGCTGTAGAAAAAGATCCTGGAGTAGAAAGTAATATTAAATACATTCTAACAACAGTCAAGCTTAAATGTGCTGCTGTTGTTCAGCCGCTGGTTTCCTCTTTCTGGCGCAAAGTGGGCCAAAAACAAAGAAGAGAGACGATCAGCTGATCATTGATCAGTTTCATGACTGAAGTAGCAGCAGGAGAGAGAGAGAGGCAGTCGCTCCATATATCGGTTGTTAAGCTTAACGCTGGAATGCTTTACAAACATTCAGAGATGAACTTACACACTTGCTTTACTTCTCTCTGGGATCACTTCCTCAGAGATGAAATGCCGGTTTGGTAGCGAGGCTACAAACACACACAGCCGCTCTATCACGTGACCACACTGCTGCGACGTGCTACGGTTATGAGCAGAGTTACGCCGTGTCGCAGGTTTTATGAGGTGCTTGTGTGATATTTAATGGATCGGATTACATCTTTTATTTCTCTCTGATATCCGATCCAGTAATTTACGTCAGTATCAGACCGATACGTAATATCGGATCGGTCCATCTCTAACTTAAACCAGCTGTCTTGAAACACAGGCTGTTTGAGTGGCAGACATTTTCAGTGTGGGTGTACTTTATTAAATCAGATGTGACTGTTTGCATCCTCGTCTCTCCCAACAACAACACTCTCAGATGATACCATGTTTTTTACATAGTTATCTTTTAGTATTTTCATGTAACAGAGCACAACTCAAACTCATGAATGCTACTGATCTAATATAGGCAACAAAATGACTTTGTTACAGTCAGATCATCAGTTTGCAGTGTTTCAGGGTAAAGATAACTGGCACATAACTTCAGATGATTCAGTCAGGTACATTTTGTGATCAGCTGTTGGAACAGTCACTACATAACTCTGTGCTCCTCCCGGCCATCAGACTTCTGCTCCGAGCCTCTGAGATCTCACACAGTCTCCATCAGAAACAGTTAGTTCAATTCTTATGTGAAAGACATACTCTCCTACATCTGCTTCATTCAGCTGACATACTGATACGTTTGATATACTGTTTCCATATACGAAAAACTTTCACAAGCATACTCTTATACTGTTACCTGCTAATGCTGAAATGAACTGCCTGTGACTGTATCTGTAGAAGTTTCCACTCAGTAAGTGGCGTCTTCTGGCCTCACGCTGGTGAATGTGGTGTGAGGTCATTTGGTCCTGGATTTAAGAGGAGTCACTGTCACTGTCATTTCACTCAGGATTTTCCAGCGAACGTCAATTCTGTTCAGAGGAGAAATAAAGACAGAGGGAGGATTTAGATTTTTAAAGCTTGTGTCACATCTCTGTTACAGACGGTGAAAGGAGGGATCTCTGAGACTCGCATTGAAAAGAGAATTGTCATCACTGGGGACACAGAAATAGATCATGACAAGGTAAATTCATTATGGAGCATTTCTCACTGCTTCGTTGTTCACACTAAATCATGTTTTCCTTAAAGGTCTGTGTGTTAGCTCATTCGCTGATTTACAGGAAATGTACCACATAAGTGACCCTGGGATTATGTGCAGGCCTAGCTTGCCCCACAGAGCAGTATGTCCAGTAAATATATGCTACATGAAAGTCATGTTCGTCACAACAGTGCGTGTCGTGCAGGTCATTTAGGAGTGTGGTGTTTACTCTGTAGGCTTTGGCCCAGGCCATTAAAGAGGCAAAGGAGCAGCACCCAGATATGTCTGTCACCAAAGTGGTCGTGCATCAGGAGACGGAGATCACCCCAGAGTAAGACGGACTGATCCTGTGGAAGGCAAGTGATACATCTGGATTTCATCTGTCCCCCACCAAGTATCCACTGGTCAGACTGAAAATCACTTGTGAAGATCATATTGAGTATAATTATAATTGTGACGAGGATAAAAGAAGATGTTGAAAAAGTTTAAACTTAACCAAGAATTCAGACTTAAACTCAAACCTCCTAACCACCTCCACCTAACCACTAACCAGCATAAATAATTAAGAAACGGCAGTCACTGTTTACAATAACAGCCACCAAAAGAAACTTATTTACAGTAAAAGCTACCATGGAGACGAACTACATCACCAAACTGTGTTTTAAACACAAGAGGACCGTGATAAGTAATGATAGAAACCGACTGAACCGAGTCATGGAAACATGGAGATGTTTATGAAGGACGCAGATCAGTAATTAAATGAAAACCTGCAGAAGTATCTCCGGTGTTTGCATGAAAGTGAAACATGGTACGTCCACAGTGTAAGGTGTTAGGGCCCATGTGGCTTTAATTGTTGCCTTGGATATGTGATGTTAAAGGGTCCAGGCTGGGAATCTGATGCTGTTGAGCTGGTTGGCAGGCTGGTATGTAAACGGCCCAGCCTGCCTCCCAGTTTGTCTGAACATGTGAGCAGGGCTGGGAGGGCTGGGAGGGCTGCAGATTGTTGAAGCCCTCAGTGCTGTCTCACAGGAAGATCAGGAAGGCACGATGCCAACTAAAGCTACCAAAGTGGTAAAAGGAACAATAATCATAGTTTTGTAAAACACTTTGTTTCAAGTTCCAGAGAATAAAAAACCAACAGAGACAGATTTTTGTTGGTGTGTTAACAAACTCAGTAGCATTACTGGAGTGAAGCTCCGCAGACAGAGCTAATGTAGAGAAACAGAGGCTGGGTGAATCTATGGTAACAGCTTCCACCAAGAGCTGCGTCATGTACGAGCACATGGGTCCTTTCAGCCAGTGTGTTTGCTGCCAATGTGGAGTCAATGAATGGCCTCAATCACATGATCCTTGCTCAGTATCCCAGTAATGTGTGTATATATGACAGTATATGAACTGTAAATGTTTGATGGTCAGTTTCACCACTTTTTGATGAATTGTACAATAAAAGCACATTATTATTCTTTTTCCATAAAAAAATGTTTTATTATAATGGCCAATAAAAATGAATTATAAAGTATTTTAAATAAACTATTAAAAATAAATGAATCTAAAGTTCAGCAGACGACAGAAACAACAATCAAATAAAATTTTGATTGTTTACATGTATGGTTAAAAAAAGCTCTTTAAGACTAATGTCGTGTCATACAATTCAAATTACATTACGTATATATTAAAATTCTCATTTTCTATGTAATATTTCTTGCTTCATTTTCTTTTTTGGTGTTGGGGCCTTTTCCTTTGTGCTCAGATAGCTGACTGTCTTGTGATCAAAAATGCAGATATTTTCATGGTAAACGCCACTAAATATTCTTTTATTCTTTCTTTACTTTCTGTCATCTTTCCTCAATCAAACTTCGGCCCTCTCAGCTACCCCCCACTCCACCCCATTCCTCCTCGTATCTCCATCACACCATTTTACCTCAGCGCACCCAGCAACCATCAACGGGAACCACCAGACCTCATCAGAGCGAACTAACTCCAACAATGACAAATGAACTTGACTCCACGAGTGTGAAGTTTGGCCTGAAGGAGACAGAGTCACCAGAAAATTCCCAAGACCCCTGCCAGTATTCCCCACAATCCCCCTCTTGTTCCATTTACTGCCAAAAGAGCAGCTGCTGGAGTTATGGATGAAAAATCATCTTTTTTTAAATATGAAAAAGAAATTAAAGAACAGCATTTGTGGATTTCATCCTCTCCAATTTGTGTGGAGATTTTAAGAAAAAATCAAGGGCATTTGGTCTTTTACTCTTGATATATTGGTAATTTATTTTTCTACAGCTTTTCTTACCATCAGAATTGGTTACCAGTAACTTGAAAATCAAGTATTTTGTAACAATGTATCCGAGCAGCATTGACAAAGGGATTGTGGGTGATGTCACTTGGGATTGTACACTTTGGGACTCGCAGGATCCCTCTCAAATTTTAGTGCAAGTTTGGTGTCATTTCTTGTACAGTAAATATTTTATTTTCCCTCTCGACGTAAAAATAATATTTTTTCAATTTGTGTATAGGAAAAGATTGATTGTATGAAACTAACGTGCGGGAATTAATCCTTTCATCTGACAAAGTTCTGGCATTTGTTCAGTGACACCTTTTGATTGTTTAGTTGTGTTTTTGTGCTCGTGTTACCAAAACAGGGCTTCATCAGGACCACAGAGATCGTAGTGCACTGACATGACGTTTATTTATTTCCACCTTTGTGCGTTTTGTGTTTTAGATATGATTTTACATGACAATGTTCCCCACATCGTTATAGTTTCTGCATTACGTTTCTAATTTTCCTCACAGTGGGCAGTGTGTACACTTAGCGCTGCTTTAAAGACATCTGTGAAATATTGAAGTCGGTAAAGAGAAGAGCAAAACTTCAGCGTCTGTATATTTAGACTTTATTATATAAAATCTATTGCATCACATTAAAATGATAGGAATGGTTGACATATCTGACACTTAATAATACGGTAAATTGGGATAATTTTCTGTTATAATTATACAGATTATCAGCTTATTATAATGGAACAACAGAAAGGGGATGAATGTGGTGACATTACACCAGTAAGGGGAAAAACACAGAGAGAAGAAAGTCGGCATGTAATAAAGCAACAAAAAGAAACGAGATGAAAGAACAGAATCAGCAGTGATGATGAATTCTTCTCACACTGTCTAACTTCCATATGTCTGCCATAATATTTGAACAGTATGATTATGACATGTGTACTTCCTGGAGGACAAAGCCGACCACGCCTGTACACACCGCCCACTGGAAGCAGAAACAGAGTCACACTGCCACTCAGACGTTTGGGGCCACTTTTTGAAAAAGAACATGATTTTTGTTTACCTCGGACATAAAATGACAACGAACAATAAAGTGGGTATACTAACACAACTAGAAAAGGGGTTTTGTTGCAAACCTAGCCTTAGCCTTTATAACTGGGACCCCAGTTCACCCTGAACACGTCACGGTTCAACGACATAAATGTCCTTTCTACAGCTCTCATTCATTTGTGTCATCCAGTGAGTTTTTGTTAACCTTAAAATGTCCGGCATCAAATTAATGAAATACAGTCAATATTTTTACAGTTTAAAGAACATTTCAGCGTGACTTTAGGCGTTTTAGCACCAGTGCACACTTTGCACTTTATCTTCAAACGGCGGACTTTTAGTTACAAGATGCCCTTTAAGATCCTCTCCAGTGTTTGTTGTTCTCACTGTATCATTATGATCACGGTACTCCTCCTCCTCTGTGTCAGCAGTCCACATCTTATTTTCTGTGTATGTTTTCTTAGATGTAACCCTCACATGGTCATCACACAAAAACATGTAAAAAGCACCATGCACTAAATAAACACTGTTGTGGTCATTATTGACATTGTCATCGCCAGCGTCGTCCTTCCTGATGCTTTTGCATACATTTAAGGTCAGTTCACTCTAAATATCGATATGTAATCGAAGCATTATCACCATAGTAACTAATAAAATATGCACCATGTTCAAATACTCCTGAGGCTTTAGAGATAACGTAATCGTTTTGCTGATTCCACCATCCAGATTTTTTATCCCAATGTAAATATTTGAATCACCCTGTAGACAGTTAACCATGTAAAACTCTGTCATTTTAAATCTTTCTTGTTATTGTTTCTATTAAGAGTAATCGATTATGCTTTGTTAATCAATTTGTAGCTTTATTTCTGCGCTGTGCTGAGCAAACAGCTTGTTCTGGCTCTGACATCCGTTCTGTAGAACTTACCTGATGCCACAGGTTCTTAGATGACTTTTTAAATGCAGCAATTAAATGTTTAGATATTAAATTCATTAAGAAAATGGATTAGTAAAATTATTTTATTGACATATTTATTTTCTAAAATTAAAAAAGGCCCCAGTTCTATTTATAGTGCTGTAGTAGATTTTTAGATCGTCATATTAATATGGAAAATCTGCTTGTAGGCTGTAAACATACTTTGAAATAGTGTAACTATTAATAATTATGCTGCACACAAAACATTTATGTAACTTTATTTGTAAAGCACTTTAAATCAGTCACAGGTGACACAAAGTGCTGAACATGAGAAAGAAATAGACAAATATATTGGATATCATGCACTTCAATGAAACAGTTTAACTGAGCAGAAACTATTTTCTCTAAATATCTTTCAAAGAAGTTGCAGCTTGCAGAGGAGCCCTGTTTTTTGTTTTTGACGTCAGTTTAAGATCATGTTTTTTAATCAAAGGTTGCATATTTGCATGTTTAAAATTCGCAGGAACCACATTCAAAGACAGACTGATGTTGATAATGGAGAAAGTCAGCCGACCTATGATCTCTTCAAAACCTCTTTCAAAAAAAAAATAGAGGCGCAGCGGCATCGTGGAGAAACCTGAGGGTTAAGCGAATCACATTCACTAAAACTGACTGCTCAAGCTGTTTGAGAACAGCAGAAAAAGGGACAGAGACAGAGTCCCGATGCATGCTCAATCATCCAGGCAAGTAAATCCCAGAAAGTTTATATTCTCTTCATCTGGATGTTTTCAGTGGGAGAAACGTTTCGTCACTCATCAGGTGACGTCTTCAGTCTCAGCTGACTGCAGGTTTCCAACTTTACAAACAGGACATCTGCATAATGACTGAAACCAGCAGCACTGAAGGAACAATGGGCTGGATTTATACATCGGGGAAACCAAACAACCTCTGGGTAAGAGGATGACACAACACAGAAGAGCCACCTCGTCAGGCCAGGACTCTGCAGTCTGTGCACACCTACAGGCCAGTGGACTGTTTCAATGATGAGGATGTAACATCCTGGACAGGGAGGAACGCTGGTTTGAGGGCGGAGTCAAGGAGGCCATTTACATGAAAAGGGAAAGACCATCTCTGAATGGAGGAGGGGCCTAAGGGTACGTCTGTCACCATCTTACAATGCTGTGATTGCAGCCATTCCCCAGCTCTCTGTGAATGATCTCTGATCTGCTGCAGCCCGATGTCCCCAGCAGGTCCCTGAGGTCATCCGATCAGGGCTTACTTGCTATAAAAAAAGACTAAGATGAGCACTAAGGGTGACAGAGCTACGTTCTTGGACTCTCTCCCCCAAACCTGTAAAACTGTGGACTCAGTAGTTGTTTTTAAAAACAACTCAAAACTCACCTTTTTAAAACTGCTTTTGATTAATTTTTGCCTGTTTTATATTGTCTGTTTTGCCTTTTATTATTTGTTATCTTATGTGCAGCACTTTCTGACTCTGTCTAGATAGGAGGTGCTATATAAATAAAATTGTATTTATTTATTTATTTAATGGGACTCATGGCCATTGATCAGTGGTTGTTGATCAATGGTCACGACCTCACAGCCCATTGTTCCTTCAGTGCTGCTGGTTTCAGTCATTGTGCAAATGTCCTGTTTATAAGAAACCTGCAGTCAGCTGAGACTGAAGACGTCACCTGATGATGACGAAACGTTTCTCCCACTGAAAACATCCAGATGAACAGAATCAACCTTTTTGGGACCGAGACAGAAGGATCTGAAACGAGCTGAAATGAAAGCCCCTGTGGTGTTACCAACAAGTTTCATGTTATCAATGAAAAATGCAGAGATTTATTGCAAACGTCAGGTGCAGCTCACAGACAGACTTTGAGACTTCAGCCACATTAGGACATTAGGAATACATGTGTAAATAGCACATGTGGGTTTATGACAGCTGGATGAAATAGTGAGGCAGTGATAATTGTTCTTTCCCAGATTTTAAGTGTCTCTAAGAGGGTCCTGGACCCCCTGATGATCCTCCACCTAATCACATGAGCCAAGGTGTGAAAACAGGTGTAGGTCACAATCAGCCAAGGTGTTGGGTGAGCTCATTGTGAATCCTAGCCACACCCTATCATGTGACTTACTGAGGTCAGATGACGCAGGATGTGCGTGGGCGTTAAGGCGTCTAGATTATAGATGGCAGACAGTTGGTGTGGTAAGCCCCGCCCTCCTTTCAAAGATGGCCGTTCACAGTGGACATAGATGTTTCTTTCACTCCTCTTTCAAACCATCTGTCTTCTCTCTACAAAATGTGAACACTGGCATCCTGAGAGAGTGACCTTTGACCTTTACATGTGTTTATGAAGTGGCTGTTTGGTGTCTCCAGTGTAGAGGTCTGAGCGCTCCTCGCTGCACTGCACAGCTACGTTGTTCAGTTTGTGTTTGTGATGAACCAGTTTGTGTCTGAGTCTGAAGTGCACTGGGATGTCGTGTTTGGAGAAGACTCTCCTGAGTTTCTCTGATAAACCTGCTACATCAGGGACGATGATGTTGTTCTGGTTTTCCTTCTGTTTCTCCCTAATTGGTGTCTGACCTTGTTTACTATCTGATTAAGTTAACCACATGTTTTAAGAGCTTTCTTTACATGTGTGCGTTCATTTTCTTTCCCTTCTGCTTCAGAGGGAACATTTTATGCTCGGTGTTGCAAGGTGTCGTTTTTCGAAACGCAGGCCTTGTTCCTCTTTCTTCTACACGATCGCTCAGTTTGTTTTCTATCATTCATTGCATCCTTGTATGTCGACCTCTGTTCTGCATTGATACAGAGCCCCTATCAGCCCAGTGCCAGCTTGTGCAGTAAAGACTTCATTAAATGCCTCCTTTATGTGGAATCTACAGATACTGTAAGTACTGCAGGGTCTGCATTCACAGGGTTCAGTGTGAATCAGTTTGATGGAAATGAATCTGTCAAATACACACAGAACTGTTAGGTCTGTGCCCCTGAGTGATTCCTTTTTTTAAATTATTTTTTGTAATGATTAAAGTTTCAATTCATCAGCTTTGTTGCTGAAAGCTCCGAGCCAACTCCAGAGTTCATTAACTGTGTTCCAGGTCATTACACTGATAATATGAAAGTCTTAGTACTGCTAGATGTTCTGTCAGACGTGTCAGGGAGGCAATGCAACCGAGAAAAACATTCAGAAGATAAAGGAGATGTAAGTAAGACACATTTCAGAAACAAAAACACATCATTGGTCCCCACTTCTTTAGTTGAATCTATGAAAGGGAACATGAACTGTAACACAGCTTCACAGTCGTATAGCAGTAACAGTAAAAAGTTGAATCCCAAAAACTTGATATAAATCATACAGGGAGGGCAGAATTATTAGGCAAGTTGTATTTGTGAGGAATAATTTTATTATTGAACAACAACCATGTTCTCAATGAACCCAAAAAACTCATTAATATCAAAGCTGAATGTTTGTGGAAGTAGTTTTTAGTTTGTTTTTAGTTTTAGCTATTTTAGGGGTGTCATGGTCTGTGGAATGCGTGATGCTCGGGTAGCCACACCCCCGGGCTGGGCCATCACTAGCACACCTGCTCTCCATCCTGGTGATTACACAGAGATCCACTTAATCCGGCGCTGACGGATGCTCCACGCCAGTTCGTAGTCATCCCCACAGTGGTAACCAGACTTCCACGAAAAGTGTGCATTCTCTTCTGCTTGGAACTTTGTTTAACCTGCCTACTTC